TATTACGAGAAAATACTTCCACTGTTATATGACCCCAGGCGGCTTTCGTAATGAATGAAGAAAAGGGGTATTAAATCTTCGTACCACTGCTACGAATTGTAACCACGCATTGAAGACTTGGTTTCGTTTCGACATGCCTATAATTTCGATAAATATTTTATGAAACGATAACCACACCCTGTGAGACTTAAGGAATAGCAAAAATGAAAAAAAATAAATTTAATAAACATCAGTGTTTTGAGTGTACAAATTAATCGAAGCTAGACTGGGTTCGAACCCAGGAATTCACATGTTAGTACTATCAATCTAACGACAGAACTACCTTGTCCACGGAAGTGTCCTGGTATATATTTTGAAATTCAAATTCTACTTATATTTTCATAAAGCACTGAATCAGTTGAATAATAAATATATAAACATTGGAAAAAAAGACATTGGGTGTTCATTATTTCTGCAACGGTATGAGGTGTAGTTACTGCCATATGTTTTTCTAAATATTCCACATAACTTAATAGCAAACCATGCATTTAAACACAAAAAGTTTCTCTTTTTTATCTTAAATATTTTTTTATATACGAACACCGTAAGGAGTGAAACGCAACTCCTTGTTTACTTTTTTTTTACACTCTAACAATGAAATAATTCTTTCCTGATCAGCCCAAGACTATTTATTCATGAAAACAATTCACATGCTCATTTTATTCATTTTAATCGTTTGAACTGAAATGTTTCATTTCACTGTGAATTACAGTCATACAACTGATGAAAACGTTCTGAACTGTGGATCAAAATAGTTGTTTACACGTTTGGAGACAGTGACAACCTTTTTTCCAGATATTTTTTTTTATTAAATTATGTTTACAAGTTTTAAATGCAAAAAAATAAATATCTGGAAATGCGTGAGCAATTTAATGGGATACCGATTTGAATGAGAAACAATAACAATCTCAAAAATCGTGTACTTCTTGTTCCCGATTTTCATCGATTTCATATTTCGGTTTTGTGGAGGTAAAGTGGAATTTATACTGTATTGTGTATAAATGGCATTTATACTGTATTGTGTATAAATGTTAAAATCGAGGCAACATATAAATCCCTTTATTATGAAATAAACATAGTAGCAATGTTAATGCCATTTTCTCTGTTCTGAAGATTTTTTTCTGATCATGCTCCTTTAAAGGTATAGCATTTGAAAAAAAAGGTACTCACTCTTCATGAAACTGTTCAAGAAGACAGGTATAACGGCAAAGGCTGTCATGTGTATATATTGAATGAGCTATTATGATATCAAGTTCATGGACTTTCTTGCAGAATAGAGTTGCACAGAATATTTATCATGATAAAACTTGAATATGTATGCTTAATTAAGAGAGTATTAATGTAAAGCACCGTAGCTGATGTATTCATCTTCAGACGGTTCCTCATGTATATGATTTGTGTGGAATTAAAAAAAAAAAAAAAAAAAAAAGTTCACAGACTTCTTTTACTTCTTCTGAAGTGTGCTCAGTCATTGTCGGTTGGATAATGGACGCGTGGCACGGTGTCGCATTCTTCCACACACACTTGGGGATAATGGGTGTATTTAAAATTTCAACTCTATTCATAACGCTTCAAGCATGCAGATTATATACATATATACTTGGCACTCAGAAGCAACTTTGCAAACATGTAGTTATATTTGTCATATTGTGTGGATGTTGTGTGGATGTTGTGTGGATGTTGTAGACCAAACAACGTCTATCTCTAAAAGTCATCTTCTCCGCAAAAATATTTACCTTATCAAACCGTTATATTTACACAGATGTTTTATAACTTATTTTATTTACTCATCCTCTCATTATCTTTTTTTTTCCGTTTGAGCTTCAAAAAAGTATTCAAATGTATTTGTTAACCTATGTATTTTATAGGGACTCCTTGATTGTATATGGCTGAAATTTTATAAATAATTATAATCATAAATAATATCAAGTCTATTCATCGATTTTCATTGTCTCCATAATGATTAACTCTAAAAGCATGAAATGAATTTACAAAAAATAAAATGAAGTTTGAGTCTTAAATTAGATTGATATAAATCTGTGAAATGGTGTGTCAATGATAACAACAATATATTCGTGTTCGGGAATGTTTCATTTAAAAAAGGTCCAAGTCTTCCAGAAATGTCATTGTCAATTATCTTTTAATACATAAATTATATGAGAGATAGTTTTTCTCTAATACATATCTTATATATTTCATGATAGAACCATATACACATAGTAATTGCATGTAAAAGTTATCTTTCTTGAAAAACTTCACAGTAGTGAAATAAGTACCCGGTTTCCTGAAGTATAGAAAAATGGACACATGTGACTCATTGATAAAAAACAACTGAATTAATACCTGGATTGCTTTGAAATACTTTGATATTGAGAGAACACATTGTTCTGTCAATAATAAACAAACAATGGACTCATTAGAATATGCGGAAATTGTGATACTGTCTCCATACATTGGATTTTAAACTAGGGATGTTCTTCCTATTTCCGTTTATCAATGCACTCATTCGACCTTAAATTGGATGTAAAGAGAGTGTATTTACGTTACAAAAAGTGAGTTTTACATCCGATTTGTTTCGGGCAGTTACGACAGCCGAAGTCTCTGCCGTGTCGCCATTATGTTTGTGAGGGATGTTTGAGTAGCTACATCGTCAGTGAGGTGTCAGGGACGAGTGATACGGCGACTTCCTTTACCTGTCCGGTTTGTAGGAGATTGACTTATCCTGTGGACAAATCAGACGACAAAGAGATTTGGGCCAAGCAGTTCCCGACGGACAGCGTTGCTGTAGAGATGATACAACATAAACACACCATAACAGAGGAGCATTACTGCCGGCCCTGTCAAAGATACGGAAACATGAATGCTGCACAATTCTGGTGTGAAATGAATCGGATTTTTTTTCTGCCAGTCTTGTAATGAGGGTTTCCGTGATATAGTCCATGACAGCTGTGATATCGTTGATATAAAGTCTTCCGGGGATTCTGTTATGAGAAAGGAACAACTGGCAAAAGATGCGACCACCACAAGGAGAAGAAAATCGCATACTTTTGTGAGGATCACAAGTCCCTCGGCTGCGAGGAGTGTATTGCAACTGGTCACATGCAATGCAAAAATGCGTCCAAACCAGAAAATCACTGTAAAGAATAGCAAAACAGCTCCCTGCCAGATGAAAGAAGGCGACGTTTGAACCTAGTGGCAATCGACATAGAATTCATGATGAATGGCTTTGATCAAAAGCTACAAAGCATCTCAGACGACAAAGTCAAGGCATTGAAAAGCATCGACGACCTACAGCATCTTTTCAGAGAGAAGAAGATTAAAATCACGAATGAAGTCATCAAGACATACAATAAGGTGAGTGAAAATCTGAAGAAGTCCTCTCAGAATTGTAAACGACTGAAAGTCGCTATACAAAATACATAAGTGTCGAGTGCTACAGCTTTAAAAAGGAACAACCATGTGGACATGATCCAGCTTTACAAGAAAGGAGAGACGGAGATCAGGGCTTAAAAGGACTTAATGAGGGACACGAGAGAGTTTATTTCAACCGTGAGTATTGAGTATGAAATCGGTTCGGACGTGACAAGTCTGCACTTTGGTAGAGTCGTTGTCGAAAAGAAGCGCAGATTTGTTTAATGGCACCCTGCTGGTCTTAAACCTTTATCCCAATGTGACGTGAGGAAATTAAGAAAGGTGAACGTTAATTGTCAATCGGATACATCATATAGTTATACTCGTGGAGTAGCTAACCTTCCGGGTGACAGAATTGTGGTTGGAGATGCTACCTACAAGAAGTTGAAGTGTCAAAATGTCAAAGTCTTGTGTCGGGGCCAGAGGAAACTCGGGCTACTAGGCCACATGTTAAACCAGAATCTGCCGTGATTTTCTCAAGTCAAGCAATATTCAACTTCGAGGAATACCTTATTTGTCCATATAGCTGTTAACAACATGAACAACACAAACAACCAAAACACTTTGAATAGACGCGCTTCGTTCGTTTCTTTTTCTTTCAAGTAATGTTTCAGGATCTACATCTTTTATCATCTGTTCAGGTATGGAATGAACACCATAACTTATCTACTTTACATTGTGTTTGGTACAGGGCCGTTGAGACATTAAGTATGTTATCCATGAACAATCTCTGGTTCCCCTGTGGACCATTGAAGCTAAAACCTTTACTTAATACAAATTCTATCTCGGCGCCATCACCATGAATACACGACTGAAGTACGGAGCAGTTTTACGTATATATATTTATCACAACTTTTAGCATTCAAACATTTCCTATAAATCATTGTACCCTGAGGAAACCCTTCTTTCTACCCCGACCTTCTCGGTAATATCCTAAAATTATATTTATTGAAGACCGTGGAAGTACATCTCTGTACATAGGACTGTTTGTCGAACTTCGGTGGAGGTACATATTTGTATGTGGTTACAAGTGTTTTCCCATGGTCCGACATCGTACGTACTATAGGAAATTGAAACCATGGCCGCCTAGACTTGTGAACTACTATGAAAATAAGTACATACATGTATGCGTCGCGTTGTTCTTTCGAAAGTGTTTCCAACGAGGCACGATAGAGTTATCTCCGCCTATTGTTATTCAGTACATAATGTATATCAAGAAAATTCCATTTTTGGATCTCCTTGAACTTCGCAATTTGTATAGTTTTGCCTTCTCTCAAAAGAGGAATGAAGAATATTGAATTGAATTAAGAGCACACGGAACCGATTCAAGCACAGGGGTTCGTGAAAAACCTTTTATACACAAAATGCTATACTGATATGGGTCTACATAAACATATTTGTAACGAACCTCTGTACACGTGGTTCATCAAGTACACTCTGTATACCGTCACACCATCGTTACTATGGGACAGGGCATCAAGTACACTCTGTATACCGTCACACCATCGTTACTATGGGACAGGGGCAAGATACAAAACATCACATACATGTTCGACGTAAAAGTGATTTATTTTCAAACTGTTAGTAAACACTGAAAAACAGAACGTAACGTGAACGTGTGTGAACTCGTTGGTCTCCAATGTCCAAAGCCTGGCTACATACATGTATGCCTGGTTATCTAACAAAAAAATAAATGCATGTTCAAAATATGGCGGAATTCGAAATTAATTTTACATGCCAAAACATCTTAAAGGATCATCTGATGTCAAAAACATAACAATATTTTTGACATTACTTGAACATTTGTTTTCAAAAACTTGCTTCGGAAATTTAAAGTTAATGACTGGTGAATTATCATTTACTGTTAATCAGGACTGGATTGAACTGAGCTTTGTCTCATGAGAGTGAATTTTGAATCGTTAATATTTGCAAAGTTATCAAAATTAAACTAACTGCACATGTCCTGGAATTCAAAAGTATCATATTCAGATAATAAACACAATTAGACTTGTATTTCTGTTCATATTTTAAAAAAATAATAAAGAAATGAAAATTTCACCGAGCAGATAGCTAACTAAGCGAAGATTAATGGATAGATCCAGGCTTTGAACATGATAATAACCTATGTGTAAACTCAGCATGCTGCGCTGGAAACATCTCCAACACCTAACAACTCTCTATCTAACATATCTAACTAGATTTAACAACAAATAACTGCCACATATTGCATAGTATTGTACAATTTACATAAAGTCATTACAGTAACCTCTGATTATGAAATTATTAATGACATTGGTCACTTTCACAAATGCTTTTTGTAAGCTAAATGTACATCTGCATATTGAAAATAAATACTTACTCAACCATTCTCAAAACATGTCATGAGGTCATCTGGAATTCATATATAATCTAGCTTACATAGCACTCTGATATCAAAACAAGAACAACACATTTCACCAACAATAGACTGAAATTGATTACTGTCAGTACTATAGTACCTTTCACCATTAATCAGATAATAACTGATTCCGTAAGCTCTCCAATCGGTAATATTTGTTAAAACATTATTTAAGATCACAATGAATATTTCTAATAAATACATAACCTTTTAAGTTTATTTTATTCATTCTTGTGTAACACAATAGGATCATTGATAAATATCCTAATTTCCACAATTAAAAAATAATTGAAATAATTTTAGCAAAATAAAGGGAAATAACTGGTGAACTTTATTTTTGCTTGGGGCATGCATTCAAAAGTTTTCCAGTTTATACAAAATAGTTATTAAAATATTTTTTCCTGTAACGCTTCAGTTACCTACATTTCCTATTTCAAGTTCTCTTTCGAACTAATATTTTCAAATAAAGTCTACATTTTTGTATTATAAAATAAGTATTATGAATGAACATTATAACATATGCTATGAAAATTGGTGTATGCACTTCATTATTTTCCCCAAAAATACTAAAATAGCAGATTTCATTTGAAACCATCCATCACTGGTGGGAACTAGCATATTAATTTGAAATGCTTTAGTCAAAACAGGAATGAAAGCCCTTGGGAGGGTGATATCTATTATTATTGATTTGTAATAATTTCCATAATTAAGAGACTTATCTAATACATGTAGTGACATTTATATCACAATCTTTTGCATAGTCTTTAGAACCGTTTGACCGTAAGTCCACTATGTGATACATAAAAATCAATGTTTTCTATTTTACAATCACAATTATGTCATAAGGTGTATAGTAGATATTTCCAACAAAATTCTTACATGAGAAATCCTTTGGATTCAAAATTCAAAATTTTTGAATTCTTTAAAAAAAGAAAGAAAAAAGAACAGTAATAATAAGAAGAATATTCTTGTGTACAATACTTTCAAACCTAGCAATTATTTTGGTAAATACAGCTATAAAATATAATATTATGATGTAAGCACTGGTGATATGTACTGTACATTGAATTTTGTATATGTGTAAGGGGAGACAAACCGCTGTCTCTAGCACATAAACGTCACTTGTGAAAGTCATATAAATGCATAATCTGTATAAATATTAATGTGATTTTATAAAAATATCGTGAACACAAATGTCTGTGGCATTGGATTACTTATAGTCATGTATACAGTTTCCTTAATTACCTCATAATTATACCCTTTTCTCTATGTAAATAGCATTATGAATTTTATGGTATACATTAATATATATATTTTATATTTATTGTACATGAAATTTATCCACACACAAATGTTATTCCTTCTTTAATATTTGATTGATTGATCAGAACAACTTAGTTTTTATATTTACAGACAAGGTAAATTTGTGTCTTGAAATTACATTTGCAATGCATTAATCTCTCAAATGAACAGTTCTGTTTTATCCTACTTATTTGTTTGAGGTTATCATCGAAACTTGAACTTGAATCAGCCAGGATGTATTTCATACTTTAAGACTGACAACACTAACTACTCAATGTCAACTTAAAAATGTAGTGCTATACTCAAATGGTTTGTAATATTTTTCCCGAAAGTACATAATTTTTTATTTTATTTTTTGAATTTATGAACATCCTGCAACCTTAAAATTTTGGGCAAAAATGTATTCCTGGGAAAACTTAGCAACTGTACCTCAATGAAATAAACAGAAATATCACTTGAAATGAAAGTGGAGTATTGGACATTCAAACAAAACCATCTGGCAAGCACTTCTGCTAAACAAAATCAGTGTCAGAAAATGCATCATTTTACTACCTAAGAAACAAAGGGATTTTGTTTTGCCAAATCTCTATGTGATTTAGATATACTTTTTTACTCAGCAAGGAAACAAATCTTTTACTTTATATAGACTCTTGATTTGACCGTCCCATATATAAGTATATATATAAAAGTGTTGACTTGGAAGCATTTTCATTTAGCAATTAATATTGTTTCTACAGTAAGTATAAGACAATTCAAACTTCATTAACAGCATGAAAATAAGTAACAGCACAATGAACTCAATAATTCAAGCAATCAAAAAGTGTCAACACATGTATTCTAGATATCTATAAAATCAAAAATGAATGAAACATAAAGATAAAACCATCTAAAAATAAAAGGAACACAAAATACAACCAGTTATTTAATCAGAAGTCTGAAGTTATTTTTTTAAGGAAGGTGGCACAAATTAATTTTTGTTTAAAAAAAAAAAAAAAGGAAAAGTGCAGCAAGTGTGTATCGCTTACCTTCAAGCTGTACCATGTTTGGTTACAGAAGGACATTTTTTAAACTAAACTTCAAAAGAGGTTTGACGCTAACAATTTAAATTTATGAAAGATAGATGTCATGGCCTTCAAATGTTTTCAGTTGAGGAAATAAACATGGCAGTCTTAACATTGACACTATGAAAAAAAATTGACTTTTTCATCTTTGATATGTAACCTTTTTAGTGACATGGACTAAATATTCGGCATCGTTCTACTTTACGTACAGAACTTCATTATACATATATTTTTCTGAATATTTCGCCAACTTTTTTTAAAAAGAATTTCAACAAACTTCAGGCTATAGCTACATTGTATATTGAAAACAGATCTGACTCAAGAATAATAAATAAAACATGCGTATGCTCTTTGGTTTACAAACAAATTGATTCCGAAGTATTTTGAAAAAATCTTTAAACAAAGCATCTTAGGCCCCCAAAACAAAAATTGCAATTAGGTTTATTAAAAAAATCATGAGTTTTTTCACCTGGGGCAGAAGATGAAATACAAAAAAAAAATATACAAAATATACATTACTTATAACTTTCTGAATCTTTAATCATACTAAAATTATTTGAACAGTATTGTTGATTTCTGATTAAAAAAAAGCACACATCTGGTTAATGTCCAAACTTCACAGCAATGAAATCACAGTAAATGTATCATTCCCACTTTCACAGCAGCTTTTTTTCACAACAAAAATTTGTATCAATCAAGAACATCTCGGACAATTATCTAACCTTTGACCACTTGCCATGACCTTGACCTCTGAGATACAGACCTGAGAGATTTACGCAGTTTGTCTGTCAGGATAAACACCTAGGAAATTTCAATACAAAATTGTGTGTCGATCAGAAGTTAAAAAAATTACTTGACCCTTAAGCAAAGTCAATGACCTTGACATTTCGGTTACAGATCTGGGAGTTTAGGCAACACAATAATGAAGAACGTTTCTACGAAGTTTCATAAAGAAATCTTGACATGATCATTAGTTATTGGCCTAGTTGAAAATGTGTTAGCAGACACACAGACAGATAAACCAACAAAGTGACCACTACATCTTTCCTACTTTAAATTCTAAATGCGAAGCCATGATGAGATTTTCCTACGGGCATTACAAAATAATACAAGTAATGTTAAATCGTTATCCTTTTTAATATACAATAACTGTAATGAAAGAAGTTTCAATGGGTAAGGTTGTGACATAGTTCTATGGCAATCATAGCAAAATATATACACAGGCCAAAAAGCTAGACTATCCACAGCCAAATCAACATACATGTCATCAATTTGATGGATCGCTCTGTATTTTGTGCTTTTGATTTTTCAAAAACGTGAATTTGTTTGACACTGCATAAACATGAACAATTTCTTTAAAGGCTCAATAGCTACATATTATTTAAATATTTTTTGGAGGTTTTATTATGGCTTTATTCATGGCCTGAAAAGATACAAGAAATATAAACAACACAAATTAAAGCATTTGCCCTTTTTTGAGTTTGTGTAGTCAACTGATTATTCGTGGTGCTTGTGAAAATTAAATTCTTGTATCCCTGCAACATTAAAGCCTTATATACCATATTTTAGTGAAGGTTTATCATGCTTACAAAGGTATTTTGTGGCTAGTAGCATATAGATCCCCAAACCATAAATGTATTAATTTTATGAACTAATGTTATGAAAATACCATCAATAGATGATTTCTACTCTGTCATTCAGCTAAACATTATTTTGAACAACTTGGAAGTTGAAAGATATTCGTGAATACATTTTCAGTATTTGATGGTCCATTTCGAAGGTTGTTCACAAGTATCATTATCGTCGTTACAGAGTCTATTGAATGTCATCTCCGGCTCAAATCCTAAAATCTCTCGCTCTTCTTGAATTCGGAATGAAAATGTTGACACATAACTCCCAATGAAATACCTGTAACAGAAAAAAAACCGGAATTAAACATGTAACAAGGGTACCGCGGGGCGGAACAATATACGCCCGTCGAATGCCATATAGTGTTATATACTTTCTTACATTGAAATAAGATCTGCATCATTCAAAGAGTGTTTAGCTGACATGCTATAAAAATGTAGGAGAAAATTAAATCTCCGGATAAAAAAATAAAGTACTGAAATGAACAAAGGGGAAAAAACTTTTGCGAAAATTGTTGAATCAAAATTCTTTTCAATGAAACACAACAACATATCATGATTATAATGTATACCAAGTTTCAAAGAGATCTGTTGAAAAATGTAGGAGAAGATTGATGGACAAAAATCAAATGCTGAAATAAACAAATGGCAATAACTTTTGCAAAATTGTTGATTCAAATTTCTTTTCAAGGAGACACAAATGCAACTTAGCATCATGATTATAATGTATACCAAGTTTCAAAGAGATCGGTCGAAAAATGTAGGAGGAGATTGCCGGACAAACAAAAGCTCACCTGGTATTAATCTCACACTTGAAATCTTTAAAGTTGACTAAAATACAGCTACAGGCAAAATATCAGTGTTTGATTCATAAGAACCTATTAAAAGATTTAAACATATTATGCCTGTGACCTTGAATGTCGAACAATGACATTTGGTTGAACAGAGTTTATAGTCTTCCAACCCAGCATGCTTTTGGCAAAATATCATTACCCTTGGCCTTTTGCTTATTGAGATGAAGTTGTTTAAAGGTTTTTTACACATTTGACCAGTTTAAAGGTTTTTTACACATTTGACCCCTGTGACCTTGAATATGTGCGAATGTCATTCATTTGAACAAACTTCGTAGCCCTTCATCACAGCATGCTACTGGCCAAATATCATTATCATCCTAGGTTTTTGGTTATTGAGAAGAAGTTGTTTAAAGGTTTTTAACATATTTGACCCCTGTGACCTGAATATAGGTAAAGGTCATTCATTTGAACAAACTTGGTAGCTCTTCATCCTAGCATGTTACTGACCAAATATCATTATCCTAGGCCTCTAAGTTATTCAGAAGAAGTTGTCTAAAGATTTTTGAAAACAGTTTACCCCTGTGACCTTGAAAATAGATGAATGTCATTCATTTGAACAAACTTGGTAGCCCTTTATCCCAGCACGCTACTGGCCAAATATCATCACCCAGGGCATTTTGGTTATTCAGAAGAAGTTGTTTAAGATTTTTAACATATTTGACCCCTGTGACCTTGAAAATAGGTGAAGGTCATTTATTTGAACAAACTTGGTAGCCCTTCATCCCAGTTTGCTTCTGGCCAAATATCATCACCCTAGGCCTTTTGGTTATTAAGAAGAAGTTGTTTGAATTAAAATATTGATGCCAGACAGACGGACGACGGACGCTGCACCATAGCATAAGCTCACTTGGCCCTTTGGGCCAGGTGAGCTAAAAACAACAGCACCATCAACTAATCAACTTTTTTGCCGACTGTTATTAAATATTCTGTCTGTGAATTGTTATTTTCAAAACATAAACAACTACAGTGTATAAGTTCATGAAATTTAGTGTGGTCATAGATCAAAACAGTGGTATATATCCAAGATGGCTGATATTTGTGAACAGGGGGTTTGCTTGCAATTAAGCCCCCTCCATACTATTTGTCTATGTTTCTTCACTTGCAGTCAAATACGGTAGTTTAACTTAGTTTATTCTGAACACAGGTATATATATCTGCCTCTATATTCAGATCATAGTCCATATTGATCTGTTTATACAGTGGAACCCACTTATTATGATATCCTATTTGCCAGAGAAAAATATTATAATAACCAATATATTATAATAAACGATCAAGCTGTTTGCGATTGTTTTTAGTTTGTCTGAACCGGACGTAAGATGCCCTATAATCAAAAGACATAGATAGATGTGGAAACATGGGAAGGTATTAATACAAATTGATATAGTAATAACTGAAATAAGTTGTTAACTTTTATTTATAATATCATTTCATTTTGCCGTCGTAATGATCAGTATGTATCAATTCTACTTTCACTTTCAAATAACATTGAGCATATTCCTAAGAACTATCGTTATACTACATCCTAGCTAACGAGACTGTAATGCAACATGTAATATGTAACTGTATCTTTCACGTGACGTCACTCCGATATAAGTGGGAACAAGAAAGATAAAGTCCAATATTTATATCTTCCTATATATTGAAAGTTCAAAGTATATTTCTATACAATAATGCTTCCTATAATTAAGGTTCAACCAATCAGATGTTATTACCTAATCAACAAGCATTTTAAGCATTTGACATTTGACCTCTGGCTCGACACTTTGACCTCACAGATTACGACCAGTGGGTTGTGGTACACAGCATAATGTCTAGATGATCTGTAGTCACATATATATCTTGTTTGTTATTATTACCCTAGAAATTGATTCATTAGCAAAATGACCTACCTGGCATGAGCACAGATCCACTGGTCAATGATGGCCACTCCGCCATCCTTGTATTTCTCATGTTCCTCTGGAGTGGGTTTAAAACGGTAAACCTCGACTTTTTCACCGAACTCCTGTTTTAGGTATTCAAACTCTGTTGAGTAATAACGAAAAGTCAATGTGAGACTATGAAGAGGTACAAGCATAAACAAATCTTTTCATGAAATGTTAAACATCAATTTCACTATTTAACTTCAATTTAGGTTTCATAACATTTTTGATGACAAAACTAATAAAGTCTCTAGATCAAGGTTTGAGTATAATTAAAAATAAAATTCTGAAATGTGCTTACCTGCATCTGGAGAATCTGTGGCTACAAAGACTTTTTTGAGTTTGTGTTTTTCCAGTATGGACTTGACCTTCTTAGGTACATACTGGATACTGGGGATCTCCTCTCCATGGGCATACAGATAGTCCTTCCGTCTCAGATGGATAGCTAAGTACGGGCCACCTTTCGCATCACCATGCTTTTTCTGTGTAATAGGTCAATGAAATAGTTACTTGGGATAAGGCATATGCGCTAAAATAAACAGCTACCGGTAATACAAGTTTGAAAATGACATTGACAGTTTTTAAAACTGCAGTATCTTCAAAACAAGAGATCCAAGAGGGATCTTGGCGCCCACCATTGTACCATCTTCATTAGTTCTATATCAGTTTGATCTTTTCTCTTCTTTTCTCTAATCTGTTTGATCAAGTCATGTAAACAGTAAATGTACTGTTTCACATATTTACTAGTACAGTTCTTTAAATGTAAGAGAAATAGATCTGATCATTACAATATCAGAAAGATCTCATTAGTACTTCCTGTGGCCATCTTGTTTTTATGATCACTTGCCAAAGTTAACATGCACAACGACAGACCAAATGGAACATACATATCAAATTTGAGAAAGATCCCTCCAGACTTCCTGAGAAGAGCGATAACTTCCAGAACAGCGATAACAAACTTTCACTGTTAAAATCCAAGATGATCACCTGTCGGCCATTTTGTTTATAGGATCAGTCTCAATAGAGACAAGAGGCCCATGGGCCTTAACGGTCACCTGAGTCTATAGTATTTATTTTTGTTGTTGAAATATGTACCAATTTGAGTAAAAAATAGTATAATGTTAACTTAACTTTGTCAGGACCATGAGCTGATCATTCCTAGACCAATTTTAAGTGAGATCGGCCTATTAGAACTTAGTAGCAAAATAGC